TAAGATAAAACTTTTTTTAAAAATTCAAGTTCTGTGCTATGAAATTCCTACTAAGATGACTTTATAATCCAGTTAACAGAGATTCTTGAGTAGTTAATTACTCACAGGAAGAAGAAAGTTTTGAAAAAAACTACATTTCACTGTGCTTTCTACTGTCTCATAATTGAAAAAAAATTGTAGTGCTTTCTTGCTGTTCAGTGTAGCAGTGAGGGGTTCCTTGTCAAATTATTTCACTATAGAATCTGTCTCCATCTGAAATGAAATGTAGACTCCAAAGCTTCCATTAATGTCTAAAGGTATGTATGCCTTATTTGATAGAATTATATGGAATAAGAGAACTGTAAGGCCCTTAAAGCAAGTCATAAATTGTCCTATTATTATTCATTTCAGATATAACTCAAAGTGAACATACTTTGGGGTTTAGATACCCTACAGAGGTTCTAAAAAGTAGATTTCTTCCCCTGAAATTAATTCTTTGATTTTCCAAAACAGTAGACTCAATATGATCTGTTATTTCAGATTGAGAGTGCTTCTGTTCATCCTTAAACCAGTCCACCAGACAAATATTGCAGAAACATAGTTTGCCTCATGTCAACCCTCTGCCCTGTTACTCTCTCCTCCTATTTCACGTTAGTTCCTTCTGTGTCCACACAAATCACTCTTATTTGTTAGACTAGTTTCTTCATCTTGTTCATCTTAGGCCATGCTTGAATGCATGCCTATGTCTTTGTTCACTCTGTTGGTGAAGTTTCCTATTTTTCTAAGAAAGAGAATTATCTCTTACTTGCTTTAAAATAGTAGACTGAAATAGAGAAGCTCTTGTGGCCCTATGCAACTCTAAGCCATCTAAGTATTTTCATTATTATATAGGTTTTATTGTCATGATTTGAATATATTTATTAAATGAAGGTAAGCAAGCAAATGTCTTAGAAGAAATGGGCCATTTCTTGAGTTCTGCATTTATAAACCTCAAACTGTTTGATGAAGGTCAGTAACATGATGCAATGACTCTAGAGTTAACCTAAACTGGGGAGGAAAAAGGCTTGCTTTACTTCTTGTTTGATTAACTGACAATGTTATGACATCTGATGAGGAATTCTCCCTTACCTAGAATAGTAAACAAAAGTATAATTAAGAGGAAACTTCCAAGTTTCATCAGTAAGAGAATGATCTAGGGTCAGTAGTTCCCAGTATGTGGTTCTTGGAAGGGTAGCATCAGCATCACATGGAATTGCAAATTCTTAGGCGTCACCATAGATCTATTAAATCAGAAACTCTGGGACTTGACAACCTGTGTTTTAACAAGTCTTTTAGGGCTTATTTGAGAACTTTTCTGCTCTAGGTCATTGGTATGCAACTCTGGTTGATTCTTAGAATCATCTGGTGAGTTTTAAAGAAACCCTGCTGCTCAGACACCACCACAGACCAATGAAATAATTTATGGGAGTGAAGCCTGACAGATTCTAATTAGTAGCCATGGTTAAGAATTAGGTTCTTAATGCTCTAGGTTATACAGATTTTTGCATGCAATGAAACTATCATCCAATACATTGTCATCAGTCCAGGCCAGAAACAAGGGGTTTGAGTGTGTATAAATGTGTGCACAATTCCTATGCACATGAATTTAAAGGAAGGTTAGGGAGACAATTTGGACTCTAGATCTCACCTAAACTGGAGAAAAGAAATGCTTCCTTTACTTTTGGTTTCATTAACCAGAAGGAGGATTTTTGATGATTCCAAGCTGACTCAAATTTGGTTTATTAAATTTCTTCATGGACTAGCCTATGAAAAATTGTCATTATGTTAGATAAACTGGTGAGATTTCTGATAATATGGCTTCAAAATGACCTGTTATTTATTATATAATATGTATAACTAATTACAAAGGTTGATTTTATTGGTTATAACTTCACATGGAAACTAGAATGCTGCCATTTGAAAAAGTTCCAAGCTGGCATCTATTTGTGTTTTCCATTCTAGGCCACAAAACATATAATCTAGTTTAAAGGAAAAAATAGATTTAGTTTAAAATTTTAAAAGCTGGCTAAAAAATACTTTTAACATAATAGGCTTGAAACAAACTGAGAATGAACTTAATCATTTAGAAAGTAACATGGTTCTGAAAGCTCAAGTCATGTATACATGTTTCAAAGAATCTGAATCAGAACCTTAATCCAAACCACTTATTGGGACACACTTTAACTAAATATGTTTCAAATTTACATTATACCAGAACATTTATTTTTTAATCAT